GTTTGGAAAAGGCCAGCAGATCTGTCAGCTGCCTAAGCCAGGCTCGGCGCGGGCGCAGGTGAAAGGCCGGGCTGGCACGGCCTAAGGCTCAGACTGCGAGAGCGACAGAGCCCCAAGCACATGAGCCACTTTCACGGCCCTTTTGTCAAAGCGATTCTTGGATTTGACAATCGGGGTTTTCACCTTCGGCAATCGTTTTGCCAGATGTGATTATGTCATTTCAAGGCCATGGAGGTGCCAGACGGTGATGCCGATGCAGCGCCGTCCTCGGAAGTAGGGCAACCACATGTGACCGAGCGATTTTGCCCTCTTCAGCCTGACCCAGGCCAAGGAGAAGAATTCCGACGGCCTTTGTGCTGACATTGAGGCTCCGGATTCGTACCGCTTTCTGCCTTGCACCATCTTGTACCCTTGCTGCGAACAATGTGAGGATTTCCATTTCAAGGGCCACTTGTTTAAGGATGACCAGCGGATGATTCTATTGCTTTGAGTTGATTATTTTTTGGCTTTGCGCAACATTTCCACGAGTCACATGGCCCTAACCCACCCTAAACGCGCACTGGGGCCCTAAGGCTCATTCCAACCCCGGACGCAAGTCAACACCCATGGCAATCAAGTGTAAGCCCACGCAAACCCCCACTAGAAACAAGAAACCCATCCTTTCCAAAGCATTTGAAAGCCGCGAGGGCTTGGTGGCACAGCTCCGGGGCGAGTGTGGCAAGATGAGCGCCTCGGTGCAGGAGCTCCGCGAGGCGAGTTCGTGCCGCGTGCCGAGTGCCGAGTGAGCCGCTTTTTCAACATCTTCGGCATTTTGGGTTAAAACGGTTTTCGCGTTTGCCAGTTTTCCCGTTTTCCCGTTTTCCCAAATTGAAGCGGGCAATTCGTCTGAAGTGTGTTCATGTTTGTTGCTGCGAGAACGCCTCTCATGTCCCTAGCACGGGTGGCCTGTGGAATCACGAGCGTGCCGTTCCCTCATTCTTGTGCCTGGTGATGTCTTGCCGCTTCGCGCGCGTGCACACACTTTGGCAGAATATGGGGTCACCTTGCCTACCCATCCTACACCAAAGTGGGACTTGACAAAGGCTCTTTGCGGCCGTTTTCAACGACCATTAAGGCGTCATGCTTGTTGGGGTATTGCAGCTCCGCTGCCAGGAATGTCGTGAGGCAATCCAGCGTGAGGCACGCGGAGTGATTCTGGCCACACTTCGACTAACTCGACTCACACTGTGAAAAGGCACGAGGAGCTTTTGGATGTCGAAGTGTTGGGACGACTCATTGAGGTTCACGCAGATAGGCCTTCGCAAGCATTGACCTTCCACATTTGGAACGTTCGGGTTTTGCCCTTTTGACAGGTCCGGGCTCGCTTGGAGCACCACCGTAACTTGCATGAGGAGCGTATGCCAATTGGCCAACTTGAGGCAGTTGCTCAGGCCTGGCTAGGCCGCCCGCATGATTTGAGACATGTGAGGCGGTCCAATGTGGCTCTTCAGTTTTTTTTTTTGTGTGGCCCAGGAGCTCAAGAAAGAGGCCCAGCAAAGAGTGCAGGCCCTGTCTGACGTGGGGAAGCCACCAGGAATATGTTCCTTCAGCTTCTGATGGAACCTTGACACGGTGCAGCCAACATGATCCGACAGCAAGGAATAGAGAGTGATGAGCTTCACCAAGCCTTACTTGTGGCTTCCCTTTAAAGGTCTTCAAGACCCGAATCGAGAGGTTTCACGAAATGAGTTCAACCTGCATGGCTACAAAGGTGTATAGAAGCCTGACTGTAACCCCCTTGCAAACCAGGTAAAATTGCATTTTGGTTTTCCCTGACTATACACAAGGTGGGAACCGGTTGAGTGGCCCTGTGCTCCCCCAGAAACGAGTTGGCAGCTGAGATTGTTCCGTCAGCGCTCCTCTCCCCTTTGCAGATCACAGACCGGCTCGAGCGTGAAATCCGAGAGCTGGTGAGAAGCTTAGCTTTGCTACGCTTTCTGCAGGGAGCGGCTGAAGCCTTGTTGAGACCTCTTCCAAGCTTCCGTGGGATTTAATGTGCGCAGGCCTGTCATTTGACAGCTGAAGTAGCCCTAAACAAGATGCCCTGAATTCCCTTCTGAGGCTGGGACTGCCCCGGCACTGCCGCAGCAAAGGAGCCAATGGCGTCTGCGCCAATTGTTTGGGCCCGGTTTCTGTGATCCCAGGCAAATCCCCTTTATGATGATCAAATTGCTATGGGGAACACAAAAGTCCAGCAGCCATGGAGCAGTAAACCGCCTATATGAGTGCGGAAGTTGAGCCGTCTATCCCAAAGCTCGCACCGCCTGCTCTCTGAGGCACAGGTGCCAGGTCCCCTATTAGACCTCATTTGCTGTGCCACCCTGCACAAACACAAAAGCAGCCACCATGAAAAGGGTGAAAGGGTTGGTCTAATTGTAAACGCTTCGCGTTGCCCGCCTCGGCCCAGCCTAGGGTCAGGAACACCGAAATCCAGTGTTGGGAAGGTCCGAATACCTGAAGCTGGCTCCAGACAAAGCCGGCCTCGCCTGGTTGGGCTGGGCCACAGGCTAGTCTCAGACACATCAGATAAGCCTGCGCTGGGCCTGAAGCTAGTCTCGGGCAGCTTGGCTGGACCTTGCTTGCGTGGGTTGTTGGTTGAGCTGGGCCTGAAGCTAGTTTACGGCGGGCTGGGCAGCCGCACTGAGGGGGCTGGGCTATGGCTGGGCTGGGCCTGAGGCCAGTTTCAGACACGTCAGACAGGCCTGGCCAGCAGGCGGACTGGGCTGGGCTAGACGCTAGTTGAGCCCAGGCCCAGTCTCGGCGCTAGACAGGCTAAAGTCTCAAACAGGGTGGGCTTGGGTGGGTTGGCTTAGGCGGGCTGGGCCTGAAGCTAGTCTCAGCCACGAGGCTGCGAAGCCATGGGTGGGTTGCTGGCTGCTGGGCAGCCGGACTAGCCTGGAACTTCGGCTGGGCGGGCTGGGCTGAGCTGTGCTTGGGCGGGTCGCTGGATGGGCTGAGGCTGGGTAGCGAGTTGCTGGCTGGGCTGGGCCTGAGGCCAGTCGCAGACACGTAAGATACGCCAGCAGGCGGGCTGAGGGACTGGGCCTGAGGCTAGTCTCAGGCTGGCATGCCTTGAGAACTGCGCCGCCGAAGGGGCCTGGTCAGCCTGGGCTGCTTAGTAGCTGGCATAGCTTGAGGCTGGGTGGCGAGTTGCTGGCTGGGCTGGGCCTGAGGCCAGTCGCAGACACATAAGACACGCCAGCAGGCGGGCTGAGGGACTGGGCCTGAGGCTAGTCCCAGGCTGGCATACTTTGAGAACAGTCTCAGACTGCGCCAAAATGGTGCTGGATGACTTGGGGCCAGACGCGAGCAGGAGGTCAAGGCCTGGCCAGCCTGGGCTGAGTTGCTTGGGCAGCCGGACTGAGGGGCTGGGGCACACAAAGGCTTAGTAGCTGGCATAGCTTGAGACCAGTTTCAGACACGTGAGACTGGTCAAACCTGACCTTGGCACGGGCTCTGGTGGGCTGGGAGCTGGGGGCCGGTTTAGTGGCTGACATGTTCTGAGATGCGCCGGGCCGGCTGGGCTTGCTGGATGACTTGGGGCCGTGCTTGGCTAGGCCCAGCTTGGGCAGGCTGGGTGGGCTGGGCGGACAGGCCTGGCCAGCAGGCGTGTTGCTGGTTGGGCTGGGCCTGAGCCTAGTCTCAGACACGTCAGACAGGCCAGGTCATGCTTTTCAGGACAAAAAAGCAATTTTTAGTGAAATGGACCGGCCGACATGGGTGGGGGGGGGGAAATTTTGGTCGGGGAGGGTTGGGCTCCCTTGGCCCCTTTGGGGCCGAGGCGAATTTCTATTTCGGGGGCATTTTCTCAACCAGGACTGTGGCCTTTCAGGCAGCGCCACGCCAGGCACAGACCGTTTTCAGGGTGTCTGCGCTGCGTCGCTGGCTGTGCATGGGGGTCCCTGACACGGGCCTGGCAGTGGCCGATTTTAGGTTTCCATTTGTAAGCAGTTTGGTGCGAGCATTTGCAGGTATGTGACGTATGGGACATGGGCATGTGCATGTGAAAATTTTGTTGCAGGCCATGACGTACTTCACCGAACCGGTGGCATCTCCGACGTACCGACCCCAGCGAAGCACCCGAGGGAAGAGAGAAGTGCAGGAAGAGGCGAATTGCCTGTTGAAAGGGAAATTCCCGTACCCTCGATAGCCTGGCAGCGCGGGATGCTGTATGGCTGCCCCACTCCGTCTCATTTGTGGAGATGCGAGGAGTCCATATCCAGCCTCGCTGCGCAGCGAGCTTTGGGCAGGCGCATAGGGTTTGGCCGCAGAGAAGGGCACGCTGGATCTCGCCACCCAATGTCCATGTTGGTGCAACAGGGTCTGATACGATCCAGTTGCGAACGTCGCACCAGCAAAACTGAACAGATCAGCATGAAGTGGGCCTCGGCCAGGCTCACCCGCCAGCGGCAGCCCGTCCAGACTGAGATAGCGAGGGGGGGAGCCTGAAGACAGAGTTGGCTCATTTTGTGACTTTTTTGTTGGAGTTGATCCCCTCCCTTATGCAGCTGGCGATTCCACTGAGAAGTTGGCCAGATATGGTCGCTCGAATCCTTTGTCGGCCGGTTGGTTGGCCAAGCACAAAGCCGGCGGTGCCTTCAGTGTTCCCCGCCAATCCGGCGATTCGGAATGCAGCGAGAAAGCCGTTGCCACTTGCAGGAAGACACGTTTCGCAACAACAGCCAGAAGTCCTTCAAACGCTTCCAACACCGCGTGGTTTTGCAAGGGGCGAAGGGCTTGCTCTAATTCATTGGCACGGAACGACGGTGCCAAGCCGCCATGCCGTTGGTGTATTGGCGAATTCGGTGCTGTGGATGTTTTAGTGGCCTACGGAGGGCAAAGGACGGCAGGGCGTGGAAGGGACATGCTTGAGATGCTGGGCGAGGCTCCTTTGAGAGCTGTTTCGTGTGTCCAGGGACGGTTTTCTGGCGAAAAGGACCCGACTTGATGCCGCATGCCAGGTCATATGCACCTCACCCGATGCGGCCTGGGGCTTGCTGGCTGTGTGCGGGGGGGGGGGGGGGGCTTGGCACTTGCATCTCTAAAACAAGAGCCAACCCAACGAATGGCTCAGTTGAAGTCTTGAATCATTCCATGATGTGCCATGACTCGTGCATGACTAGTCATTGAAGCGGTCAGTCAGCAATCATGTCCTTGAGGGTTCAATAGGCTTGCGCAGATTGCATGATTGTGTGTTTGTTTCATCACATTATTGTTTGCAGAAAAATCGGCCCTGCCGTTCGCATGGCTGCGTGGCAACGATGGAGAGGGACTCACTTGCTTGAATTGGCTTTGCTCACGTCTGATTCTGGAGGTCCTTTGTTTGCCCTACTGGACTCCTGCCGCCATCTCGGTCCCAAGAATGGAAGCAAGGTGGCTTGTGTCGAGTAGCGCAGCAGAGCTCAGGCGTCACATTGTTGTTTTCCAGTGGCTCAGCTACAGATCAATCTCGTACCTGAGAGAGAAGGGAGAAAACACAGCTCCTTTGCGACTTTTCCTTGCGACTGGATGGATTCGCCATGTCGAAGGACAAGAAGAGCTCGCCCTACGACTGGTGGCGCACTGTGCCGGCACGCCGGCCCAGGGAGGTCCGGTTCCAGATGGGCCGCGTGCCCCTGAATCTGCCGCCCCACCCTGCCCGGCTGGAGGCCATCCGAAGGATCGCCCCCTTGTCGGAGGACGCAGCTCCAAGCCGCATGTTTGGTTTGTTCGTTCAGCTGCGGGGATGTGGTAAGAAGTGTGTTGTAGCTTGACATGTCAAACACATGTAACATGTGTTCAGTTCGACCCACGGAAGCCAGCCTCGCCATTTGCCATAGGATTACTCATGCCCCGAGAAGCTGCTGGCCACTGCGCCGGGGTTCTTCACGGACAGAACCGAGCGGCACGTGGACAGATCCGGGATTCCGAGGTCCTTCTCTGGGGAGTGCTGCCTGGTGGCCAACGACCAGGTGCCCCGGGGAAGGATGGGTTGAAGGACCCCTGATGGGAAATGTCAGGATGTAGAATGGGGAGCTGAATATGCGCACGCGCAGAGAAGTTGGAGGCCATTTTTAAGTTTTATGCTTGTGGACGGTGTTTGAAGGACACCCAAAAGAAAATCATCTGCTTCGCCAGTTTCCACCACGCAAGCAAAGGTGCCTATCGAGTTCTTTGATGCCGAAAGGGTGTATCGCAGCTGTGCGCTGTTCCAGCAGTGTTCGCCCGGCTTCATCCAGGAGTTGATTGCAATTGGCGGCTCGCCTGCCTGGCACGGGAAGACTTTCGAATGCGGCTTGACCATATACCAGGAAGGCCAGCGCGGGAATGCCATGTATTTGATTGTGCGGGGCACGGTGGCTCTAAGCTCGGCCCAGGGGCAGCGCCAGTCCGGAGCTGGGGAGTGCATTGGGGTGGCACAGGGGCTGGGGGTGGTTGCGGAGAGGCAGGAGACCGCCGTGGCACGGACCTCTGTGCACGTGTTGGAGGTTGCGCTGTCCACCTTGACCAAGGCCTTCATGCTGGAGAGGGACGGGGACACCAGCCGGGCCTATGTCGGGGAGCGGCGTTTGTTCGAGCTGGAGGCGCGCCGCTGCGGGAGGAAGGACGCGGGCGTGGAGCGCAAGAAGGGCAGGAAGGGCACCAAGACAGCGTCGCCGCAGGGGACGCAAACCATGTCGCTGTCTCGGACGCATTCGGAGGAAATGGAGGTGTCACCCATAACAGCGCACTCCATGCACGCCACCCACCAGAGTTACCAGAGCCACCAGACCCACCAGAGCCACCAGAGCCACCAGACCCTTGGTCACATCAGCTGCCTCCAGCATCCCCGGCAGTGGCGGCAGCAGGTCCAGAGGCTACAGCGGGAGCTCATCGAGGGTGACTTCTCTGACCGGAGCCGGGAGGCTTTCCAGCAGAGCCTGGGCTCGAGCATCACCCAGGACTTCAACAATGGCTTCCAGCAGCCGCTGGACTCCCCCATCCGAGCCAACCTCAGTCCTGAGGACGCGCGGCAAACGCCTGACCGTGAAGAGGAGGATGCGGAAGAGGTGGCGACAGGAATGCTGGAGCTGGCTCTTCTGCCTAGCCTGTCCGACATGAGCTGCAAGCAGAAAGTGGACCTTCTGCACCACATGCATGCCCAGAACAAGGCGCAAACTTTGCGAAAATCGGGGCGGCCGGGCACCAGCTCAAATGTCCGCAAACGAGACTGACACGTTGGCGTGCCTGCCAGTGAGCTCGTGGAATTGGCCGAGTGCATGTGTGTGTGTGTGCTAAATGGCACAGAATAGGCGCAAATGTTCAGGAGCCAGGAAGTGAGATGCTTGTTCTCATGTGGCTCCGAAGCACCTTTTTTCTCTGTGCCTGGTTTCACCCTCCCCCTCTCTGGCGGCATGCCTGAAAGCAGTGGATTGACCCCTGACAGTCAGAAATGGTGTATGCAGCTTCTTTTTGCTTCCGCACAGCATGCGATATGGCTGGCGACTGGGAAATGAACAAGCGGCTGGCTTCAAGGCAGTCGACAACTCCTGCCCATGTTTGCGTGGCACAGCCGGTGAGGCTCTGGGTGGGGAGGGGCGGGGTGAAGAAGGATGCAGAGGACAACGTGTGTCATTCGGGCAGGGGCAGAGCGACGTTGTTGATCGGACCGTTGGAATGCCTTGCTGGAGACGGTGTTTGACAGGAAGTGGCTTTTGCCAGTTGAATGTGTGGAAGGTCCATGTTGGCATGTTGGCATGTGGCGCATTGCGGTCATCTCCTTGTTTGTGACCGCCTTGTTTGGTGTTGCAGTAATTAGGTGCCCTCTGCAATATGAAAGGGCTTGTTGCTAAGCCCAAAGCTCACCGTCACTCCAACACAGAGACGGTCATTGCCACATGCGTGCTTGATTCAGCCTGCCAGGTCTGCATCGCCTTGCCCTACGCGCCGGATGCCCAGCAAGCTGCACTCAAGCTGCCTTTCATCGGCTTGCGAGGGTCATTCAAGAGGCTCGGATTCTGTGTTGCTTCGCCACTCCCTGGACTTTCATGTTACTCTGCTTTGTCAGGGTATGCCTGTCCTTGCTCTCACGTGCAGGCTGCTCCCCTCATCACGAGGCAGGGCAAGACAGTACAGGAATGCCAGAAGTCTTTCCACGCGCGTCCACGACCTCTTCCAACAAGCTCCCAGGATCGATCTTTTTCTCTATGGAGCGATCCCATGTAAGTCTTTCTAAAATTCTTATCTCTGATTTCCCAAATGTTGGTTGTTTCCAGTCTTTGCTAGAAGGAGTGTGAGACCAGCACTCAGCCAGCGCGCAGGGCAGGGAGAGCCGGACAGGGCCGGGAGCCCGTGACTGCTGCCAAAGGGGCAGCTCTTGCTGAGGTTTGACTTCGGGGCCTCCGGCAAATTTTCTCGGCAAGGCTCTTTGGGTTGCATATACCTTTGTTACCTCGGCCTCCTGAACCTCTAGAGGGTTGGCCTCCCACCACTCCCCGCGGCCCATCCCCCAGGTCGCCCCGCAATCCCTCCACTGGCGTGGCAGCCTTAGGGCGCTGCTGTGGCCGCTAAAAGGGGGGCAACAAACGAGCAGCATGGGAGATGCTCGTCGTGCGCAGCAGGCCTGCTGGATCTGAATCACGTGTGTTATCACATCCGTCCCCATCCATGTTTGCTCAACGTCCTTTCATGTACCATCATCTGGTGATGGTGGCACTTTTGTAAAGCAGCAAAGTATTGGACTTACTCATGCAAGTTCCACTTGCAATCTTATTTAGCCTTCAGTTGACGACATTGGCTCGGACGTCCTGTCTTTTGACCATGCGGCCCCGTTCAAGGCCGCTGCCCGGAGCGTTGCTGAAGGGGGTGCCGCTGCCAGGCTGGGCACTTGGGTGGTTCAACTGCCCCAAGCAATTAGCTGCCGGAATCATACTTGTCCCATTTATGGCCTTGAACGCAAACAGGTCCTGCACGCCAGGAACCCTGGGGCAAGAGGAGGAACCGGTGTGGTAAGTTCGGCTTTTCGTCAACGCAGACTCATGTGTCCCCGCTTCACGTCCGCCATGTATCCTCGGTCCTGAGATCCGCGACGCCGACCCGCCCTGTGGGGCACTCGGCGGTTTGAGACAATTGCTGTGCTGTTGCCCCGATAAGGGACCGTATAAGAAGGATATATATATATATATATGTACAGACATACCTGTACATATCTCTATCTATCTGTTCGTGTGCATATCTATATCTATGTGGATATGAACACAGGGCGATATCTGTACACATATGCATACCTATATGTATATAAATGTATATATATATATATACACATCCACATGTCTGTCTGTCTGTCTGCCTGTCTGCCTGTCTGTCTGTCTGCCTGTCTGTCTGTCTGTGTGTCTGTCTGTCTGTCTATCTCTCTACATATATCTATCTATCGATCGATCGATCGATCGATCTGTCTGTCTGTCTGTCTGTCTGTCTGTCTGTCTGTCTATCTGTCTTATCTATCTTATCTATCTTATCTATCTTATCTATCTTATCTATCTTATCTATCTTATGTATCTTATCTATCTTATCTATCTGTCTATCTATCTATCTATCTATCCTATCTTATCTATCTTATCTATCTTATCTATCTTATCTATCTTATCTATCTTATCTATCTTATCTATCTTATCTATCTTATCTTATCTATCTGTCTGCTTGTTTATCTATCTATCTATCTATCTTATCTTGTCTTGTCTTATCTTATCTTATCGTATCTATCTAGCTATCTATGTATCTATCTATCTATCTATCTATCTGTCTATCTATCTATCTATCTAATCTATCTATCTATCTATCTATCTATCTATCTATCTAATCTATCTATCTATCTATCTATCTATCTATCTATCTATCTATCTATCTATCTATCTATCTATCTATCTATCTATCTATTTATCTATCTATCTATCTATCTATCTTATCTATCTATCTGTCTATCTATCTATCACCTATCTATTCTATCTAATCTATCTATCTATCTATCTATCTATCTATCTATCTATCTATCTATGTATCTGTCTGTCTGTCTGTCTGTCTGTCTGTCTGTCTGCCTGTCTGTCTGTCTATCTATCTATTTATCTATCTATCTATCTGTCTCTCGCTCGCTCTCTCTCTCTCTCTCTCTATAATATATACATTCACATATACGTATATGTATATACTTCTGTGCATGCTTTCAATTCAAGTGTGCGTTTTGAGATTTTAATTCACATGTGCGTTTTGAGACCATCTCCGCCTCCGGGTTCACAGGCTAGGGTGGGGAGAAGGCTCCCACTGCCGTGGAGCGCTTCAGGAAGGACGGCCGGAGAAGTACACGGCCGGTACAGAGGCGAGTCGGTCGGGCAAACATCTCAGAATCTCAGAGCTGCAGCGGGGATGGAGAGTGCCTCATTGTGTAGTCGGAGCCTGCGGTGTTTGCACAACAGGCATGTTGCGGATTTTGTCCTTGTTCGGAAAGACTTATTCAATCATTCGGCCGAGAATTTGCTGAGCTTGAGTTTAGTCTAAGGGACAGCCACCGTCGCATGAAGGGGCACACACACATATAGTAAGCTAACTCTCGTTTTCAATCGGGTCACACCCTGTCACTGACTCGAGATTGCTTGGTCTCCGGGCAGAATGCGTGTGTCGGTGGCAGTGGGGCTCGAGGTGCCACACCTTCCAGTGATTGCGGGGCAGGCACCTGGGCCCGCAGAACATAAAATTCGCTTAATGAGGTGAACAGAACGTGTCCATTCAAAGCTGGCGCATCTGATTCACAAATAATCCAATCAAACTTAACCAGCCAGTGGGAATAGCCGACAATTCAAGGACAGGAGCCCGTTAGACTCAAATCCAACTTTAGACTCAGAGAGTTTTTTCCTTCGGAAGCGCCAGGTCTGCGTTGCCGGGCTCCGGGTGCGCTGCAAGGCAGTGCTGGGCCGCGGATCCTTCAGTGAGGCGTGGGGCCAGCCGCTGCAGAAATACCAGAATAGCTGAAAGATGGGAGGTGCAGCTTGAACGCTGGCTCCAATGGGCCAAGTTGAGTTGCTTGGTTTGCCCTGGCTATCCGAGCGGCACAAGAGATAGCCCAGACGCCTCAAGCCTTGGACCACGCAAACGGAATGGGGGGGGCCGTTCCTGTTCGCCTATCGGCATGTTGTTCCAAGGCCCCGGTAGCAAGCAAAGTAGAAACTGCACGCGTGCGAGGCCTGCGCGCAGTTTGTGTGTGTGTGTGTGGGTGTGTGTTTGCACCGTGCTGGATCACACACACACACACACCCACGATAATCTTTTTGAAGTTGGACAACTCGGTGCACCTGCAACGGTGATTGCCCAGAACATTTGGCCTGTTCTGCTGTTTTTGGGTTTAGCTTGGCGTGATGCTGGCGAATTATGTGTTGTTGTGATTTATTTGCGAGTGGACCTCACTCTTTAAGAGTGTCCGCGCGTGCCTTCACTTTTTGCAAAACACCTCTTTCTGTTAGTTAGAATTGTGCATGTCAGCGCCGGCCCAGATTCGCCCGTAAGCATGCGTCTGTGTGTTTGTGCCTGCGCATGTCTGACAAGCCTTCACACGACTCCGCGGCTCTCTGAACAAGTTCCACGTTCAGTCAGGTGCCTGTATCCGACCCCGGACGCCAGGTCTGGGCAGGGGAGGTGATGGGCACCAGCCACGAGCTCGCGCTGAAGGCTGTTCGGGATTTGTTTTGTAAGGAAAATCTCAGATTCTCAGATTGCCAGATGCCTGCGCGTGTCCCAAGATTTCGACCTGTTTGGTTTGCCTGCGGACCTCTTTGCTCGATGTGTGAGGACATTATCTGCAAGACCAAGGCAGGAACTGACGGGATACGCGCTGTGTGGCTGATGAAGGGGCAAGATCAAAAGGCTGCCAAATTCAGTCATATGATGGACACACCCTGCTTATTTCCGCCGGCAGATGCTTGATAGCGTCAGTTGTTTTCTCGCGTCTAGATGTGGTTGCTTGGGCACCCGCTTGGTTCTGCACACGGCGTCTTTGACTGCCTGGGGTGTGAGGTTTGTCTTTGGCACAATGGCAAGTGGCCAAACTGTCATTGCGCTAAGCTTTGGGAGCGCTCTAGTCCGAGAAGCGGTTGCTCTGCTCATTTCCGGCTATGGCATTCCCTATGGCCATAGGCAGATTTGGACCAAGCACTGCTGGAGGCCGGGAAGCCCGTGATGATAACTCGGGTCCTGATCCGTCTTTTCTGGGGGCTGCCGCCGGAAAGAGCAGACAGATAAATGAGAGCTGATGTAAAGCATCCTCTGACACCTGCCTCGACACTAGTGCTATTGATGGTCACGGGAAGAACCAACGTGTGCCTTTCGTATTGAGCAATCTGAGTTGGAGGGGGGCGGGGTCAGGGGGTTGGTGAGGCGAGCCTGCTTGAGCGCTTTCAGCCTATGGCCTCTGGCCCGGTTCCAGCCTGGCGCTCGGGGGCTGGCCTCCAAGAGCAAGAGCCCAGTTGGTGGGGTAGGTTAGTTCAAGTAGTTTGTTGGTCAAGTGTGGGTTTGGGGGTGCAAGGGTTGGGCCGGATTGCGGGCAGCGGTTTTCTTGGCTTTCACGATTTGGATGATTTGGCCAAACAGGGAGGGCATGGAGGCAGGAGGGTGGCCAGGTGTCGCCCGAGCTGTCGGGAACTGGCCTGAGGTGATGCGAATCCCGCGCTACTTGGGACACCGAGCTGCGCTCTCATTGCGTAAGCACCCGGAGGGTCAGACGGTGAGAACCTAAACATTGCTTGTTTGGTTAGGCCGGCAGGTAATGGAAGATATTGCAAGCTCGTCGGGGCCAAGCTGATGTAAGGTTTTAGCTGAAGTCATGTGCTTGCTGCTCCTTGCCAGCATCCTTCCCATGATCCTTGCCAGCATCCTTGCCACTGTGTTTCACCTATGCCAATTCTCAGCTGTACGATGCTTTGAGCTTGTTGCAAAGGTAACCGGGGGAGGGGAAGGGCAGATCTGAAGTTTTGTGATGTTCCACGCCCCACTGGTCTGCATATTGGTGCCTCGGCAAGGTAGACACTTGCGGAGATGGCTGGCGCGTGTGCCTGGCTGTCGCCCCAGATGGGTTCCTTTCTTGCGCGTTTGGCGTTTGGGGGCCCCGGGCTTACAAAGCGCCGGTGGCACCGGGCTGTGGCTCCCACATTCCGCCCGCTCTGCTTGGCCGGCTCATCTATGGCGTCAGGAGGTAGGACTTCATGTGGTATTCGTGGGATGGAAAGCACGGTAAGGAGAGCCATGGCCACCACTGCCAAGTGCACCGTCGGTTGTTGGAGTTGTAATTTATCAGCTTTCTAGTTGGTGGTTTGAATTGGTGGTTTAGGGGGGGGGTGGCTGCCCTCAAGTGGGGGTTCAAATCCCCAAACCAATCCAAACCACCAATCCCAACCACCAATGCAGGTCGTGCAGGCCAGGCCTGCTCAGCAACACGTGGCAAGCTTTCCACTTGATTCGTAGGCATGCAGGGGGCTTTGGGTGGGACTGCACTTCGCGGCGCACGTTCGCCGAATCATTCGCCCTGGGCTTTCAATTGGTGAGGGTCTTGCACTTGAAACCGGATGACGCCCAAGTCATTCACAGTTGCCCCCAGTTGTTTGGCGGAGCTTACGGAGCTGATCTTTGAGGCAATGTCCCGCGTGCCTGGAGAGTGCCTAGACAACTGGCTCAAGAAGCAGTCACCACTGAACCAGGAGGCGGGGGAGGGCTTGACCCTTCGTGAAGGTGACCATGTTGATGCTGTTTGCTGGGATTGCGGGCCAGTGTGCAAGTCATCGCAAGTGTTGCCGGACCGGCTGGCCAAAAAGCAGGGATGACCTTCTGGAATGCCCCGGTTGCTGTTTGGACGGGTTGCCAGCCTCACCTTGTCCCCCCAAAGTCTTACGAGGCTGGGCTGTAAGGAGGGGTTCCTGGCACTGCAGGACGGCCCCAGCTCCGTGCGCAGGGGCTGTGCTCGAGCCCTGGGATGTGCGGGCTGGGCCCGGATGTGACTTCCGTGGTGTCCTAGTCCCGTGCACTTCTACTGTTTGCTGGGCAAACTGCAAAATGTAAGGCACATACATTTCGCAGCAGCGAGCCTGCGCCAGAACCCGCAGCAGTCCCCACAAGTGTTGCAGCTTTCGACGGGTGTGCTCATTGTCCCTGCATTGGTCTTTGCACACGATAAATCTCAGGATTCTTGCAGCCAGGGCGAACATCATGCTTATTCCGTCTGCCTCGCTTGGATGCCACGTCTCAAGGACCTCTTTCCCCCAATACTTTCCCACTGACGGTCATTGTCTTCGGAGCCTTCTACCCTCCGACGACCCCGTGAGGCCTTGGCCATGGCCCTCATTCGGCTGGAGCCCCGGTCGAGCTGGACCCAACCTTGAAACGTCGAACTGCGGTTTCCAGGTCTGCCAAACATCGAAGCAAACCCAGGGACTAGGACCCCGCGCTCCAGGCAGCTGGGACCCACACTGGAGCTCATCTCGCCCCACGTGTGGCATCGCGATGTGAACTCTGCAAGGGGCTTGGCTTCCAATCCTCCCTGCGTGCCAGCGGCAACAAATCCATCCTTACTGCTTTCAATTGCAGGATGGGAACTGCAAATGGGCGCAACTCTTGGGTCACTCAAAGCAGGGAAGCTGGAATGAAGCTTCCAGCCGTCCTGCAGGGGATCCAATTGCCAAGACGGGGTCATTCCCACGTTCCGACTTTCAACTTATTGCTGTTAACCAAGCTTCAGCTGTCCACGCAGCACAACATTCTCATCAGCGACGTGGATGGCAGCCGCTTGGCCAGCTGCGACGAGGAGGCCTGGAGCTGGCTTTGATCCTGATTTATTCTGCTAGCATTTGGTGGAATTACTATGAAATTGTTTCCTACTGCCCCTAGGCGTCTAGGCTGTCTAGGCCCCTAGGCCCCCAAAGTCGGCTGTTCGCCGCCCTGCCTGGGCTTCCACCCTTCTTTGCCGCGGCAGGACATCTTCAACCGAGCCTCTTGGCTACACTTGTGCGGCCAGCATCGAGCTACGGCCTTTCTGGCCTCGTTGTCTTTGCAAAAGCGGCACTTGCTGGAGGCGTTTCAAAGGCTTCTTTTCGGATGGCGCCAACACTACTTTGCGGCTGGTTTGCCCCCTTCCGAACATTTTTTGTGATAGTGCAGGTATAAGCCAATCCCAAGCCTCCCCAACATCGGCCCAATACCAGCTTCCCACCAAAACTAAGCCAGCCCAACTTGGAGCTGATACCTGCTTAGATCAACGCAAAGTGGTGTGCCGAGAAACCATGAAAGAGCGACCGGCCCTCGCGGGTTGCCATGCCCCCGTTTCCATGAACGTGGGGCGGACCGAGGCCTCCTTCTGGCTGATTGACTTTGGCCTGGCGGTCGAGAGCAAGACCTGGCCGCCACCCCGGCGGAGGGAAGCTCGAACTGAGAGATTGAGAAGCCAAGCCCACCCCGGTTCTTGCCATCTCCAAAAAGCAATGCATCCATTGCTGCCAGCCTGGCTCTTTGGATTGTGGTTCCTGAGCCTGCAACTCGTCCATTTTGCGTAGAAGCCGGTCAAGCAGACGGGAGGCCAGGGGAGGACGGTCGCTAAAGGCAAGACTGCTGGAAGCCTTGCATTTGGAGAGGCTTGCGACGCTTCAGGGAACGGTCTCCCGCCCTTCCAATGGCCTCTTGGTGAAGCCATGGGCCCCATAAGAGTAACTATAAGCCCCCCATAAGCCCCATAAACCATCTGAAGCTCCGAGCATTGGAGACTCGACAGGCCACAGCGCTGGCCCAGCTCCGACGTCGCCGGGGACTGCCGCTACTGGGCACCCAGCAGCTTTGCCCCTTGGCGGCCCGAGTTCCCTTTGCATTTCTCTTGCCGGATCGTTGAAAGGAAACCTTTTCCCATGGGCCGAGTCCCAATCTCGGAAATATTCATTCGCACGTATGTTCTTGCAATGCAACTGTTTCTGGTTGGCAGCTCGGTTCTTGAATATCTTGCATAGGGATACCAATTTAACAACTAGTAGTTCCCGCTATGAGCACACTTTCTGCGCCGGCTTGTCCTTTGGCCTGAAATGTGCAGGGAGGGGAGGGGAGAATGCAACTAATGCTCACCCAGATTTTAAGGTGGGCGCAAATCCGATTTGGAGTTGAGATGAGCAGGGGCGGAGAGCTGCCCCAAGGTCATGAGCTTCTGCGGGCCAGAGGCGGGGAGCGGAGGTAGCGACGTCAGACACCCCGGGATGGTGAAGGAGGTTTTGTTCGTAGTTTGCTTGTCGCTGGTTGATTTCATGTCCTTTGAAGCACTGCAACATGTTGGGCCAGGGTCCAGTGAATGTTTTGGGATGACCCCCTTCTGCCTAAGGATCTCAAGGTGGGAATCAAGCAAAGCTACCTGCCCAAGTTTGGGCCCATAGGATGTCGCCTTGCATCGGTCCTTACGAGGAGACTGCCGCAAACCAAGACTTCTGCTCGCAGTACAAGACGAAGCTGGATATCGTTGGCTTAGGCTCCGCTGGCCAAAAGTGAAGAGGAGAGAAGTGGAAGTGGGGTGCCTTGCAGACTTGAGCATGATGATGGAATGCGGTCAGCATGTGTTGGCGTGCTTGTTCGTTTGACGGGATCATGATTCGGACTCAGCTTCTAACATGGTGTTTTTTGATCGTTGCGCTCTGGACTACTGTTGCCGGGCACCAGGCCTAGACCATATTTTTGGCGTGGCGTGGACCCTCTGTGGGCCTGTGCAATTGGCGACAAATGTCCGTGTTGGAATTGGTTCCCTGTCACCACCAATTTGCTTGCCAAGCGTCCCTCGAGGATACACAACTACAGCTAACCAGTATTGCAGACTCTGCGTCCATTGGAGGGGGTCTAGCAGTCAGCCTGGCATTTCATCCGCCGCACTGTTCCCAAACATGGCAATGGCTCACAGTACAGTGTGCCACGTGTGAGCAGAGCAACGTGACACCTCCGAGCAGCAGTACGCTTGCCATTATTTTGTGCTGGGAGCGACTCTATATAACTTCTTTATTCCAGCCTTTGAGCCAGCTCTGGCGTGCTAGAAGCGGGCCTCAGCCGGTGCAGCATGAAAAGTGATGGACAAGAGATCGATTGGTTTGGTTGGGAGGTGCTCCCATATCCCTGGCCCAAGCAGGGGAGCCCAAAGAAGGTACCTGCCATGGTTGTGGCGCACCTTTGTTGGCCATGCATGGCATGCTCGACACCAATGGGCCTTTGCATGAACCCGAGACAACATTTCTCCAGAAAGCACGAATCCATGGTATCCCGTTTCGGTCAATTTGGGCCCTGGCTTTGGGTCCTGTGGCAGGGCTCACGGCTTTGGAGCTGCTGTGCAGCACCTGCCTGTCGAGCCGCAAGACCTGGGGCTCGGATCCACGGGATGCGCTTCGCGCACGAAGTGGGATGGGTTTACATGACGCACTCCTTGGGCACCTAGTGGGATGATTTGAAAGTCATGGCAGAAACAAGCAACTGTTGTGATTGCTCCTTAGGCTTTGGGCAGTGCATCGCAATCCAGCAAGAGTGCACCCTGAGGTCCGGACGGGCTCCGAGGCTCTTGGGAGCGGCTGCTGGACACGTGGGAGAGGCAGGCAGAGGTTTGAACTAGACACGAGCTGTGCAGCTGTACCATCAGGTGCTGTGAGGACTCCAGAACACATGCAACGGCTGTTTATTTGTGGGATCCACGAAAGGGCCCATGTGTGTGCACGCTGTGGTTGCCATGAATCTTCTGGGCAGGTATCGCGAAGACGTGACACGCTGGCACGCCATGATCTTCCAAGTCTTTACGAAGGGAGGCATGTCGCGGCACGCATGCGTGTGGTTATGTGCGGGTGTTGCATTCCAGACAGGTTTACAGAGTATGGAGCCCCTTGTAAATAATAATAAAGTAGGAGCTGCGGCACAGAGGTTCCATACGCTGGATGCAAATGCCATGTTGGTCTGCAGCTTGCGCTCCCAACAATTCATGCGCGACCTTTGGTTCAAGATATGAACATAGCAATTTTGATAGTGAAGCAATGTCAGCCATTCATTCAGGTTGCCCAAAACTTTTCGCTCGGACCTGTTGCCAAGCTCATGCAGCAGTCAGAGGGTTCCACAAAGCTGAGAACAGAGAACACTGTCCTACCCCTCGCATGGCGAATGGGAGGCTCGTCCGGAGGGTTGGGTACACCCAGATTTTGGATTGACAGGTTTTGCCTTCGCGAGCTTTCGTGGCATCAATTGTTGCACCGGGGTCACCGGAGAGTTCCCAAATGCAAAGAAGCAGCCGAATGAATGGGACTTGACATCTCTTGATGTTTGCCAGGGGCCAGCGGTGTCCCTACGAGCTGCTGTGCGTGCCGCGGGACTGGGAGGGGCTCTCCTCGTCAGTTCGACCTGATTTGTGTGCGGACAAGGCATGCTTTGAGTCTTTGGTCCAAAGCTCAGGGGTCACAAGTTTGGCCACCTGCTGTCACCTAGTGGAGGGGAGACAAGAGCTTCATTTCACTTAGCACATGCTGGGAACTGGTGGCTGCTCTGGTGGCTACAAGGACGCCTCACCCCGCAGCATTGATCGCGCATGGCGGCAGCAGGCGGGCTTCATAAGGGTAATTGTTAGCTCCCTACGAGCTGTTTGGCCTTCGGTTTTGCCCAACAGCAGAGTTTGTGTTTCGTTTCGAGGTATCCGATGTTTGCTGCCATGGCATCGGCCTTCTGACCAGGGCAATCAACTAACAGGGAATGCGCAGCGTCTTTGTAAAAGGTGCCCTGAAACTTACAGGTGCTTCCTATATTGACTTGCCATTGTCTCGCCGACAACGCTCGGGGCACTTTGCTGGGTCGGCAGTGAGGCGCGGGTACACCATCCAGACAAGGCTCGAGAGGGGAAGGGCTTGCCTGGTGCGGGCTTGCTTGAGCCAGAGAGGTACAGGAAAGAGGTGGAAGTTGAATCCGGCATGCTGGTTGAGCATTCCCGAAAAGCTGGCTTTCCTTTGGAGGCCGTGGAGGCTGACAAGGCTGATGCAGAGGAGCGCAGAGGGCGGATCAGTAGCAAGCCGCTGTGGCGCATTGTACCTTGACATAGACAGAGCTCATCAGCCCGTGCATTAAACGACTGCGACAAGGATTTCCGTTAGGGACCATCACCGTTCCTAGTACGAATTAGTGTTTGCCATGGCACAAGCTGAAAAAGAAACATCGATTCCTGGAAGAATTTGAGGATGGAATTGGTTCCTGGCGCCCGCAGGAGCGCTTCAAAGAGCTGGCTGAGGCCCATGAGCTGCTGGCAGACCCGGAGCGGCGCCAGCTCTACGACCGCTTCGGCATCCAGGAGCTTTTGACTTTGAAGTGGGACGTGAGAAATGAAGTTGCCGGGCTCGGATTCAGTTCGAGGGGCAACTCACCAATTCCGAGAGCCTTCAAGCCTCGCTGACCCACGAGCACGTTGTATTGACCCGGCAGGATCCCAACTTTGGGGCCAACTTTGCACCGCAGGAGGCGCCGTGTGGCCAGCAAGGGCTAGAATGCCTCGGGGGGGGGGGGTTCAGCCCGACCTATCAACTGTGTTCCCCTCTTTGTGAGCCAGGTTTCGATTCCTTGGTTGAGTTGGCGCCGCGCTCAGCGCGTTTTTCTGAGCCGGGCCATTTCGCGCAGGAGGACGTCTTCAACACGGGCCAATTTGCCGACTTTGAGGATCCCGCCAGCGGTTTTCGCGGAAGCCATGGATGGAGCCCCCAAAATATTTCGGCAGAATCTGCGCACTTGCCAGAAGGGTGTTTTTTTCCTTTTTTTTTAAATATCTCCTTTCATACTATTGTGCATACGGCCGATTGAGGAGACTCAGTTTCAACGTCACAAGTTGGCTTGCGCTGCTACAATGATGCAAGTACCTGTTCACGTTTTTGAGCTGGAAGGTGGTTTGGTTTTCGTGCCTTGTGACTCTGATTCTGGGGTGCCTGCGTGAGCATAGACGGCAAGGGTCTCCCCGGAAGAATCCATTTGAAAGCGATGCAGCACTGGTAGCGCTGCTTGGGAGGAGATGTTTAGAGAGCTCTTCCAGCAAGGCCAGCGAAAAGTCGAGTGGTGTATCCCCCCATGCCATCCACCAGTTGCTAATTGTCCGCATGCCGAGGCCTTCCCACTATACTGAGCCACGGGGGCAATTGGAAGCGTCTTATGTCAGTTTCGTCCTTTCCCCACCCTCGTTACACTTTGCCTTTGCACAGCGTGCCATGCTCAGCCAGCTTTGGTTGAGCTGCCCCAACACATGAAAAGGCCCCACGGGCTTGAGTGTGTGTGTGTGCCGCCTGGTCCGTCGCTTTTCTCTTCCTTCCTTCTTTTGTCAACCTTTGGAGTCGGACGCCACCTTGACGAATGCCCCGGAATGCAGTAATCCTGTTAGCAGATGCCGTTCCTGATGAGGATTGCCGGCAGCAATTACCGGGCATACGTCAAGCCGAAACTCCTTTTGGTTGGCAGAGTTGGGGTGCGCCTCCAGTGCTTGCTGTATCTCCCATCAAGTGTGTACCGGCACTGCTTCCGAGCCACGGTCAGTGTCGTGAACCCTTCGGGGCACTCGATTTTCCTGACGCGCAGACTTTTTTTCTGACCATTACCTGGACCGCCGCATTCGGGCTCCTATGCTACCCCGCTCATTTGATGATGTTTCGAAAAAATCGGAATTGCAGACATCTTCACTGCGACACACTTTTTACCCTCTTCGCCGCACACAGATCGTTTTACAACAAGAAGCACGCTCGGCCGACTACCTGCATCATTTTCCTGCTTCTCTTCTGCCATGTGACTTTTCTTTTCCTTTTCGTTTTTTTTTCCTTTTTCTTTTTACGCTCCGGTTGACCCTGACGACCGCCTTGGCAACAGCTTTTGTTTCCTGGTTCCCGTTCCGTGTGTGTGTATTGTCAGTGCCTTGTGTTCAGGCACCAACTGCCCAATCCTCATTCGGCGCCTCCAATAACTTCGGAGTGGCCATATCAGTGGTCTTCACACTCCATGCCTTCACCGGCGTCTCAGCAGTTCCTCAACCTCGACCACCTACGCCAGCGCATGTTCACTGCCGAACCCTACGTTCCCCCACCCAGAGCTCACCCTCTTCCCTCGCACTTAATTGAAGCTAATTACCCCCAGCCGTCGAATCTGAGAGCATCGACCAGGCCTCGCTCCTCCTGCTCTAGCCGATCCTGCTCAAGGTGCCTATGCTACCAGCTCGCCTCCGACAGGATCATCACCATCCTACCTGCCCCTTATTCCAGCTGCTTTACAATCAAACGACAACTTCTTGGATCAGCGTGAAGTTCGAGGTCTCCAGCTGTAGCCCGTGCCTATGGTCACGCCGCGCTGGCCTCAGCGGAGCGTTCGCCTGCTTTGCTAAGGAGCCAATGACTTCTCGCTAAGATGCTTATCCAATGGACGTTGTCAACCTGTGATGGCCCGCACCATGGCCGAGGAAGTTATCCTCACCAGCATGCTCAGGCCCCTCGGGATAGGGAGGTTCGGCCTACTCCCTTCATGACAGCAAACCTGCGACAAACGCACGGGCAGTCATGGATTTGGATGAGCTCGCAGGGAACATTTCTGACACAACGGAGCAGGCCCCCGTGCGACCAGGCATCTCCAAGCCTTCACCACCTCCACCACCTCCACCACTTCCACCACTTCTACCTTCTCTTCCCGAAGCCGTCGCCGACGCTGCGACGGCCTTTCTTTTCCTTTCTTTTCTGTCTTTTTCCCTTCTGGTTTCGGTTGCCCTGTGTGTTCCCCCTTCGGTGTGTGTGTGCCCCCTGTTCCATCGCTTTTCTCTTCGTTCCTTCTTTTGTCAACCTTTGGAGTCGGACGCCACCTTGACGAATGCCCCGGAATGCAAAAAATCCTGTTGCCAGATGGCGTTCCTGATGAGGATTGCCGGCAGGATGAACAATTGCGGGGCTTACGTCAAGCCGAAACTCCTTTTGGCTTGCAAGAGTTGGGGTGCGCCTCCAGTGCTTGCTGTATCTCCCATCAAGTGTGTGTGTGTGTGTGTGTGTGGGTGCGTGGGTGCGTGGGTGCGTGCGTGCGTGCGTGCGTGCGTGCGTGCGTGCGTGCGTGCGTGCGTGCGTGCGTGCGTGCGTGCGTGCGTGCGTGCGTGCGTGTGTGCGTGTGTGTGTGTGTGTGTGTGTGTGTGTGTGTGTGTGTGTGTGTGCGGCGCACCGCGTATTCTACCCAGACAACAGTTCGCCACACGACATGGGTAGCTCACAAGTCGATCAATGTTCTACCCAGAAGGTTCGCCACGCGACGTGGCCTTACTATTCTTTGCCCATTGTACAATAGTTCACTTGTATTCACTGCAAACTTCGCTGATGCTAGGGCCACCCGCAGAGCCAGAGCGGCGTGGCAGCCAAGTTCAGGTGTTTGTGCCACGGGAGCCAGCCGCCACAAGCTTGGTTTTCGTGGCATGCTCTTGCCATATGCTTGTGAGATGGCATGTTGAAGACCTTTCGGCAAGGCAGCCAAGCTCAGGGAAACCATTGGCTTGATGGTCGAACAAACAATGTTTGATTTCCCGGCGGTGAGGTTCTGTACCAGCGCCCATGCTGAGTTTTCAGAAGCTTCGAGCCACTTGCCACTCTCAGGGATTTGTGGGATGTCTGGGAGGGTGTGCTTGGCTTCACCCTCCTGTCGCTGGGTGCGGGTGCCTTCGCTCGCTCGGGACTTACCATTGCTTGCCTGTGGGAAGGGGAGGGGCCACTGGGCGAATTGGTAGGAAGCTTGATTTAGGCCACCCGTGGCTCAACCTTGGGATGTCGCCAGAACCTTTCATCCAAGCCATTTCTCTGGGGTAAGCTGATCACATCGCCCTGCTTGCAAGCGCCTTGGCCTGCCCAGTTGCCACCTACTTTGCCCGGCGGCCACCGCTGTCCATCTGGCTGAACTGGTTTTGGTGGAGGCTAGCAGGGTGGCAAACGGCACCGGCAGCAAAGTGGTCCCATAAGTTTTGTGGTCACTGTATGGCACGTAGTTGGGATGCACATTTGCTGCTTTGGTAGGGCCCCACGGTTGTGAGGGGATTGCCAGGTGGCGCTTCCTGCTTTTTGACATTGGTATGGGCTGACCGCGGCCGGTCACCGCGGGCCCGGTTTTTCGCCGTTGCGCCGGGGCGGGTTCAAAGTGTTGGCGGTTGAAGTGTTTTTTAAAAGCAAAGGCTTTTATTGAAATTTCTATGTTCAGCTGAACTTCAGATCACCATTCGACAGGCTGGCCCGACGCACAGGAATTGTTGCCCCTGAAGGGTTTCTGACAAGCCTAGGGGGAAACTACTGGGCAGGCTCGCGGCATGTCTTCGTAGCACTGCCAACCCCAGTGCCATAGCATTGCTGATCTGACCAAGGGCTTTGCCTGACACATCGGGGCACAGGATATGCCCACTAGGCCTGCAGTGGCGCTGATGCAACGCCAACCAGACTGCGTAGACTTCGAAGCCCACGACGTGTGGGCTTTGGTTTTGAGAGTTCTGGAGCGGTTGCAGCGTTCCACTACAAGGGCTGGCAACGCGCAGCAAATTCTAGTAAATAGAAAGAAACCATATGGAGCAACACGACGTACAGTATTGTTAGTAAGCTCTAAATAATTCTGCCAGCTCCCGAGGGCTCTCGTTCCGTGCTCCGCGCGCTCCCATCGAGTTTCCGTTGTGAAACCAATCTGCAGGCATGTCAACAGGTCTCTGCTGAGACCTGCAGGGCGCGGCCAAAATAAGGGGCTGTGTTGTGCCTGCGCCTTCCTGGGGCATGGGATGGCCCTCGCGAGAAACCTTTTTTTTGACCGGCCTCAAATGGAAACAATGGTCCCACCCTCTATCTGGCAACACCCGACAAGGTCCCAGAGGACGGCACAACCACTACTGATTTCAGTCGTGATTCATGCACAATCGACCTGTCTATGGAAACTGGCTGGTCGGGCAGTTTCGTGGTGCAACATGACCAGCAAGGTTGCTGAGAGTGCCCCAAAATTACCCCTGTCCTGGCCAACCGCTCGCCAGCTGACGTCGCCCCGCTCTACCGCAAGCTGGGCCAGGACGCAGTCGGGGGAAACGGCACCAGGTAACAGTTGAACCCCGTCCATGGCGGCTCGTTTCTTTGTGGCGAGGGGTAAGACATGGTGGGGTGGGGGGGGGGGGCCAGGAAGTGAGGACTGACAGGCTGAAGAGGTTGCACTGGGCTTCTGGGGTTGGTTTTCAGCCAGTTCAAGTGCCTTGCGACAGCTGTCGAAGCTGTGCTCAGAAACGAGGCATTCAGACACACATCTCAAATCCCGAGGCCCGTGACAAGCTGCGTCAACCCTGGCAGCCTCGCCCAAAATAGCCGGCCTTAAATTGCTGAATGTCGTGGGCAGCACGGCGGAGGTGTTTCAATAACATAGATGCCAAGTTTGATCACCTTGCTCTCCGCCCCCCTCCCCAACCCGCGGATCCAGCCATCCAACATTGCTAGATTCAAACCTATGACCAATGCACACTCGATGGCCTGATGCTCCTTGTTCTGGCACTGCTTCCGCTGCGAAGGCCAGCCGGGCAAGGGATTTGGCGTTGAACAAGTCGGCAAAGGCAAAGTCTTGCACACAATTGGGACATTGGGTCATTCGTTTGTCTGGATCGTGGTCCACACGGCCAATGGCCTGGCACAGCTTTGAGAACATTTCAATCTTAGCGGGAAGGTATGCATGCGGGCCAAACGGTGCCTGGGCTGACTCCGTATTCGATGTCTGGTGGGCTTCTCATTTCCATCGATCGGGGTTGGATGGCACCAGGCGCATGACGGCAAATCAACCAAGTGTAGTACCGATTCCAAACCGGGGCCTCAAAGCATGGGCGTTCGCTGATCCCCAGCCGCCCTTCCGATCCTCCTGAAATTTTGAACCCGGGGAGCCGGCGTCTTTTAGTCATGATATACATTTGCCTCGAATGGGTGTCTTTTTTTGAGGGTACTTTTTGTGGATAGCTGAGGAAAAGCAAACGGAAAGCGCTTGTTTGGGTTGTTCTATTTTGAGGCAATTGCAAGCTTTTGCCCTGGGGAAAGCCTGCCGTGCCAGTCTTGGGGACGGCTGCTGGTCCAGCGGCTTCTCGGCGGAGCTGTGCTGCGACAGGTGGGCCCTGAAGGGGGTGCCTCTGCATGGCGGAACTGGGGGGAGCCAACGACTTTGGATTTTGGACCGAAGCACGGGACCGAGCTTGGAATGAGGCTAGGTGCGATGGCTTGCCGTCTGATTTGCCAAGCGCCTTGGACAGCGTTAGAGCCCGGAAAAGGCACATGGGGTCTGCCACAAGCCGGCGTTGCAGCAAAGCAGAGTAGTTTGCATATCATTTTGTTCCTTTGACCCTGCCAGGAGGCTGGGGCCCAGGGGCAACGATGTGTGCTGGGATGGTGTGCCTTGGCGGCCGATGAGCGGATGGGCAGGCATTAAGCGCCACGTCGAATGTGGGGAGGTGGCGGTTGCTGGCATCAGGGCCGTCTTAGTGGCTGGCCGCTGGGATACGAAGCCCAGGACTTCACATACGAGAACTGCTGTGAGCTGGGCTTTGGCGAGGAAGAGAGGAAGGAGGCCAGGGGTTTCGTAATGTCGCAGTGCCTGGCATTACCCCTTTGATTGCCCCTTGGCTGTTTCCAGCAAGACATCCACATCTGCCTACTTAAGTTGGGGGCTTAGTGCGGGTCACACGGGATTTATTACCAGCAAGAACCAAAACCTGTTTTGGGCTGATGCTTGGTATGTTGATTGCCTTGTTGTGGGAAGGCAGGGCGCCCTGCTACCTTGTAGTGGGCAATCAAGTGGGGCCGAGCCCCGGCCACTTTTCGGTTTGACTCTGACCTCTGCCCTAGTCCTGATTGCGAATTGGCGGAAGCCCTCCGGCAGGAGCACCCTTTGGTGCCCTTTGCTGCGGAGCTGGAGCCGGAGCTGCTGGCCTTCCATTGTTTGGTTTGCTTTCTTGGGGGGTCGTTCAGATTCTTTGGTGGAAATGCACCATTTGGGGCCCCTTGAAAGACCCAGTCGGGTCTCGGAGCATGTGCCTGTGATGAGCGCAATGTACCTCTTAGCAGCATTCTGCCGACTCCGGTCAATGACGACTTGATAATTCTAGTGAGGCTGTGGGAGTGCTTCTAAGGCTCAGGCTAGATGACTCTGCATGGATTGGGGAGAGCAGCCAACTATTTGCCCCGCTCGTGCTTGAACGCTTGGCCGTGCCAAGCTGTTTTGGTGCAGCAACCTTGCTTCTCAATGGCCTGTCTTTGGCGTTGCCTTCTTTGGCAGGTTGGGTTTGAGAAACAGATACTTTCAGCACCGCATGCCAGACTTGAGCTTGTTACAAGATTGGTGGCCCCGAGGATCGGAGTTGGCCTCTTCCCAACCTACGAGCCAGGGAAGGACTGCTGGACTGGCATCGTGGTAGCAGCTTATTTAGTCAAAGGCTTTCAGCGTTGGTTTGTAGCTGGGATCTCTCTTTTGGGTCTGCTGGCTTCAGGATGTTTGAGGATAACTTCCCTCAGGATAGCGTAGGCAAGTCTAAAGCTTATCATAAGCTCTCACTGGGGCTGAGGGACTGGGGCCAAAACGGCATGGAAGGGGTTTGGGGGGGGCTCGGTGCATGGTGCGCCTCAGGCAGTGCGGCAAGCTATGCGCACTGCTGTGGCTTGGCTAGACCTGGACAGGCGGTGGCCAGTCGCCTTGACTGTCAAGAAAGAGGGCCAAGGCTCCACATGCCCGCATCTTGCGATCCGAAGGGTGCCGCCAATCCCCATATCTATGGAACTGATCCCCTTGTTGCAAGGCACTGGGTCAGTAGAACCACGGTGGGCTGGAAGCCAGGCGACCTTCGGGTGAGCAGCCTCGGGAACTTATATCAGTGCTGGGACACCTGGCGCTACACCTTCGAGCGCTGCTGCTTTTTGGGGGAGGCCAGCTGAGCAGCGGGGGGTACTTCCCTCGTGAGCTTTGCACATGGTTGTGTGAAACCTGCAGCATATGTTCCAGTTGCAGCCATGGTTGCAAGCATAGTGGCTGCCCAAGCCCAGAGGGCTTGGACGAGATGGACTCTTACAGCGTTTGATGCGTGCCCAACCGCCCAGGCTCCACCAATTGAACAGCGGAGCCCCACATGCCAACAGTCCTTTGCACGGTTCGTGAAGCTTTGCCGGTTGCCAATTGCGCATCAAGTTGCCGAAGACTTCACAGGCATGCAGGGTCATGAAGCATTTGAGGGTCTTTGGCAAAGGCCGCCTCCAATCTGCCAGGCCGCGCCCCAGGCGCCAGCTGCAAAGCCCTGGCTGGCCGCTGGCCAGCTGGGCTCGCCTGCTGTGACGCTGGCAGAGGAACCGCAGCGGCCGGCAGGCGGCAAGGGAGCCGGGAGGGAGGTTGCGTGTGAGGTGGCAATTTCTTCCCTCCGCGCCGCCCAGCATGTGCCAGGCTTGGAGTGTTGGCACAGCGGCTTCACCTATGCGGTCTGCTGCAGCTCCGGCAGCGCAGAGAAAGCGTCGGTTGTTGTGGGCTGTTCTCGCCACTAAGCTTGGACCCTTGGGAGTGCAGGGGCTAATGTTCCTCAGCCTTTCAAGCGCTATTGTTTGTCCCAAGGTTATGTCTCCGGCCAAGCTTGGGCTTGTAAGGCCTGGGCGGCACAGACTGCTGGGATCAGCACTTCACCAAGGAGGGCTGCTGCGAGGGTCGCCCGTCCTTGCTGCAGGCCTGGAGCTCGCAAGCTGCTCGAAATCGCTTTGTTTCCTTCACCAGTAGTTGACAGAGGGTGATGGGGATTCGTCCGAACAGTGACTGGTTTGTACCCCAGCTGCCCAACTGCCGGCTATGCTTACAGTAGAGAAGGAGCACTTGTGCAGCAGGAGGAAAGTTGTCCAGAGAAAGGCAACCGGCCCTCCTTTGATTCAAGGCAAGAGAGGGTCTCGTACCACTGCGCATTGATCCATTTCTTGCCTAGAGGCTTGCAGGCGTAGAGGCTTACAATGCCTCCAGCGCAGCTGGAGGCCGGACGCTAGGCTAAGGAAAATCCGCCAGCCTCCTTGGGCGTTGCCAGGCCTGGAAGCCTGCAGAGCCTTCTGACCCGCAAGCAGCTCGTATGTAAATCGCCTGTGTTAATTTCAGCACGTCCTTGTTTGAGGCATCATTGTTCTGCGCGGGCACATCGCACATGAGGTTGATTGCCTCCTCAGCGCGAGGGGCTTGACGTTGGCATCTTGGCGGGAAGCAGCAAGCTCAGTTCTCCATTCCCAACCGCTTACCAGTAGGAGTTGGGCAAAATATTTGCATAGTGGTGTGGTATGTGTGGTGCGCTGGAAAATTCACAGTGCCAGGAAGGGATGCCCAGAACCACCTCAAGGGTTTCACGTAGGGCTTGGTGACGAAGTCAATTTGTATTTGAACCTTGGGATGGCTGCGCTTGAGCCAGGCAACTGGCAGAGTTGCTGGTCCCTGCCGAGTCATTCATTAGGGGTGGAAACCTCCATGCCACCACTCACATTGAGTTTGCAACGTGCACCAGCGATGCTGTGGATTCCTCGCTCTGCTATTGAATCGCCTCCCGGCAGCCGCACTGAAAGGACACGACTGGACCAGGGTGCCCAATAAATTGACACGACGCGATTGCAATGCTTCAGATTTGGAGATGGGTTCAAGCCAAGCGCGCACCTCCCTTCCGCTGTTGCCGCATCGGATGCAGAGAAAACAAGCACTCGCCCTGCCATGCTTCCTATTTCGAGGACTTGGAGCAGAAGCCTCGGCAGTGCGCGCAGCGCTACGTTCTGCTGGCGACGTTGGGGCAGGCCATGCGCCTTTGGCAGTGGATTTCGGCGGCTCAGAAGACCAGCCTTTTTTGGTTTGAGCTCGGGCTTCCTTGAGCACCTTCATTCTCAGATGACAAGGCGTGCTAGGCACTGAGGCGGTTGTTTTGTGCCCAAGGATTGGCCCTCGCTGGCAGGGGCAGCCCTGGTGGGCGAGGCCGCATGCTTCACAGTTGCTGACGCCGCTGCGGCCACACAGGCAAGGGAGTGCGGGAGGGAAGCTGGGAGAACAGT